AAAAATATAAAAAGGTACAACTTTCTTCTTGTGATATGCAACATTTAATGATGATCATAAACATTACTTCGTATCCAGCTGACACGTCATGTTTTGTCGACCTATATTTCACAAAGGTGAATTCAAAGCTTCTACAACCAAACTTACTTCATCCAAGAACCAAACCAAATGCCATGAAAATTATATTTATTGTTTTAATGTTTAGATGAAGAAGAATCAAATCCTAATATTCTCTTTCTGAAGCTCAAATGTTGAGTTCTGTTATTATGATAAAGTTCACCAAAGGAGGGTTGGAAGCATGTATTTATTATATCAACCACTGGCTTTCCATATACTACAAAACTGCAAAATAGTGTGCAGTCACAAACATAGCAGACAATTTTGTTTTTGCTTTACTCATACACTAGCTACTGAATGTTGTGATCAAATCTTTGCCATTATCTCATGAATGTATTTATATATAATGCTGAAATCTTTACAATACATGCAATGTCTATCCTTTAGGTTACTGCTGGGGATGTTATCCTTGAAGTTAATGGCCGATCTATTACAAACTTTACAACAAGTGAAGGTATAATATACATTCTCTCCCCTGCAATGGCCATAGCCTCCTCTGCAGGCATCACTAAGAATCATGGGCTTCCTGTCTTTTTTGGGGGGAGTCAGAAGAAGGAGAGTGGGGTGAGAGAGCCGTGGCTCAGGTGGTTTAACTTTTTCGTCACTAGTCCCTAGCAGCCAAGATGACCATTGCAAAGGAAGCCCAAATGAGAAAAAAGAGTTGCCTTAGAAGGAGGCCACAATCCCCACTAAGTGTCAGTGCATGATAGGCCACAAATTATAATCTTTGCCAGGGTTCGTGCTACTCTTGAAATCCTTGAAAACTCCTGGAATTGAAAACTTGTTTTCAAGGGTGCTTGAAAAGCCCTTGAAAATGGGAAAAAGCACTAAAACTCCTGGAAAACTCCTTGCATCTGATGAAATTAACATATTGCCTTTTGCCGTTTGGAGTGAAATGTGGCTATTTTTGAAAATTACCACTGGAAACATTTGCAAACATTACGAAATATCTTCAAAAATAGTCCTTGAAATTCGCATTTTTGTGCTTAAAAAGTACTTGAATAGTCCTGGAATTTTGTAGTGAAAATTTTGCACRAACCCTGTTTGCTCAAATTGCATTGTGGTAATCAAAGTTTATTGTGTATATTGTATAATTTATTGAACTGATTTTTGTTGTAGTTGTGGAGTTTATCAGGGATTCTCCAGATGAACTCACTTTACGTCTAATGCAAGGTAATTACTATGTAGTACAGTACATGGGTATCCTGTGGTAGTATAAAAAAGAGAAGAGACTGGATATGACATATGATGTCACCACAGGCAATCCATTTAGGGTGTAAACATGAATTTATCTTTTAATACTCAAAGAACCATTTCTTGCTATTTACAGTACTTAGTCTGTACCCAGA